AAATGATAATTAGGATGGAAGGAGAAGAAAGAAAGAAGGAAAGGTGCAAGTGAAGTCCCCTGCATTTTATGATTTAATAAGCTGAAGGTGCCTGCAATAAAACCAGCCTTCTGGCTTTGGTAAACTGGTGGCTGGTGGCATATAATTGTCAGTTATAGAAACTGGAGGAGGAATAGATACAGGAGAAATTAAATGAAGGACTGTGGGAGATCTACGTCAGTATTTCTTACTGAGTACTCTCAATCTTTGGGAGAAAATTAGTGCTACAGATACATTTGAAATTATCAGCCTATAGGTAGTAACTACTGCTATGTGAATAGATAAGATTCTCCAAGGAAAATGGGCCAAGTGCAAAGGGAAGGTGTAATAGCTCAGAACCCTGGAGAATGCCAGAAAAAACAAAATTACTTGCTTTTTTTTTTTTTTTTTAACCTCTTGGTTCTTGATAGATACAAAGAATTAGGAAAGCAGCAATGGAAAGTCTTCACCAGCTTCAGTACCTCATAAGATACTTCACATAAATACTGTACAAGAAAGGAGACCCTATTAAACCAGTATGTCAAAGAAGAAATTGTTGGCCAGTCCCAGGGATGTGGAATGGGAAAGAAATCTCAGTCTTCCTCTGCCCTTACTCCAAGAACCTGCTCATAGAATCCGGAGGTCTCAGGTTTTTTACCAGCCTAACACTGCATTGTGAAATACAACTCAAGCATGTCACATCTTTTTGGAGTCCAGTTCTAAAGAAAGGAGTCCTTCAGAAATAATGATTTCATAATCAAGAGCAAGGCACTCTCTCAAATTAAGGAATGATGTGTGTTGAGAAGGAGGTGTGGGGGGTGACTGATATAAAAAGAAAGCACTGTCAAGCACAGTGGCCCCTTCTCCTAAAGGACTCTCAAGTAGTCGGTCGTGTGCTCCACATTTTAGTTGACTGCTTCTAATTCATCTAGCTTTTGCCAATATTAAGTCCATTATATCAGAAAGGAGGAAGTCAGTTTGGCTAATTCTTTCTGAGTTCCCTAGACAAAGCAGAGAGATGAGAAATGTCATCTGAACCCTTACACTAGATTTTCTCCGTAGAGTTAGGTAACCAAGTTCCCAACCTATCTCACCAAGTATAAAAAAAAATATAGTGGAACTGGAAATAATACTTTTGTGTGCTTGGAACATAAAATCTCCCTTATATGTATATATAGCTAAAACAACTTTTGCTGTTTTTCACCTAAAACTGTGTGCCAGTGAAATATATTTGCCCTGATCTGCTCTATTTCCTCTATCACTTCCGGGTGCTACTGCCTAGAATGCTGGGAGGACGTTCTGGTGCCTGTGTCTTGTGGAGTACTGAATGGAACTAGATCTGAAGCTCAAGGATAAGTATGAGTTAGAGGCCACATTTTGGAGGCAATCCCTTGTGTGTGACAGTTAAAAGCATGACATTAACCACAGTGGCCTACAGAGGGCTTACATTTGAAAAAATTTGGTTTTAGTGTGTTTCCCCAGCAGGTCACCCTGAAGGAGAAAAGGGGAAGAGCTTCCAGAAGACTAGGTCATTCCTGGATAACTATTCTTTAGTAGAGAAGTAAAAGGAGGGAACTTAAAGTAAGAGAAGTGGTCAACCAAGTCTACTGCAATCAGGGCAGGCTAATAAGGCCACGTTATTTGATGCCAAAGGGCTGGTTTGCTTATGTAAATAGTGGAAGCACTATCCTGTTGTTTATTCTGTGTCCATGCCAGAGGGTAGCACCAGGTCCAGGGGAAGCAGCAGATGTTGTCTGTAAGCTGGCTATCTGACAGAGAAGAAAAGCAATTCTCTTACTGGTAGGTAGTTGGCTGAAAGCCTTTAGCTGCCTTAGAAATCTCAGTTGCTGCCATGCTTACCTCAGGGTAGCCCACCTCAGAATCACTGGCAGCAGGGCCTTAGTAGCTTAAGTCCCTCCGATGAGAGGGACTTTCCCTAAGTCGAAATGGCCAACCTTGGAGCTGCGTACAGTGACTGTCACGTAAGGCATTTTCAGGGCCTATAGGAACTTGTATCTCTTGTTGTTCACACGCTCCTCAAGGCAGCAACATGTAAATAAACTATACTCATCTGCTTAGTATGTCTCGTGGTTTTTGATTTTTTAATTCAAACTAAACATTAATATGAGAAGTTTTGATAATAACCTGTGAACTTCCTTATTTTTTTTTGAAAAGGTAGCATAGTTCTCTTCCTGTAGTGTAACCATAGCAACTGACAAAGAACAGAGAAAGAAAGCTTTCACACATGCTGTGTTAATTAATCCTGTCCTACAGTTTTCTTTCAGCTGGAGGATACAGTTTAATAAATTTTACATGAGTAAGAGTGTTTTGATGCATGAACTATATAAATACATACCATTATCTTTACCAAAAATATTTGGAAAAATGTAGTTGTGTATCTGTATCCCTTGGGTTTTTTCCCCCTTTGAGCCTTTGTTTTAATAATTTACTCCCTCCCTGAAATGTTTGAGACTTATTTATCTTATTAACAGAAACAGCTTTAGGGTGAAAGCCTTTTGTTCATCAATATACAGACACTTTCCACAGAAATTGCCTTAATTGGCTAACTATATAAATGTGAAATGATGCGGTTTTTTTCTCAAGTGATACAGTAGACTGTATCTTAAAAGCATAACAGCACGCTTCACTCTGTGTGGAACATTTATGTGCAAACCATTTCAAGAAACTCAGTCATGATAATGTAAAAAGTTAGGTAATAAAAATACATCTTCATTGTTCTTTTGGAAGTTATGTGGCCCTTCTAAATGAAATTAGAGTGTTCTTTGACCTCAGTTTGTGGCAGAAAGAAAACAGTACAGACCAGGCACTTGATTGTTTCTATTCCAAAAGTGTTTAACCATTTTAACAAACGCATATTTGATATGAAATTAGATGTAATTATTTTAACTTATGTTGTTTCTAAGATACCTTGAAGTCTTGTTTTCTCTTTATAATTGGAAATGACACAATTTTTAAAATACCTTGCCGGGTCATCTCAGCTGTCAAAGAAAACCTCGTGTTTTTTCATAATCTTATCCCTGTGGCCTAGCTTTCTGACAGCAGGGCTCCAAGAAAACCAAGGGAATTCAGGTTGAATTTTTTTTTTTTTTTTCATCCACTTCACTTGACAACAACATATGGAATGAGTCAGAACCTATTTCAGGCCTTGTGCTTTAGCTCTTTGGTTTCATACAGGAGCAGTGTCAGATGAGGAACTAGCCCTTCGGGTGAGACCGTCAGATGTGGACACTTTCTCATCCCTATTATCTCAGCTCTTTTCATTGTTTCCTGAATTGGGGTAGGGCAAGACAGAGAAAAGTAGGATTGTTATGGAAATCTGTTATTGAACATATTTTATTCATGTGCAGAAAAATTGCATACATTAGTGTATGTGTGTTGTCTATACATTTAATGTGTTTATAAGCACTAGCCAATTTATAGCATGCTGTCACGTTATTAAAAAACCTGCATTGCTGGGCCAGGGATATAACTTAGTGACACAGCGCCTGGCTAGCAAGTGTGAGGTCATGAGTTTGATTCCTGGTTAAAACAAAAAAAACAGAACTAAAAAACCCTGTGTTGTTGAAAAATTTGAGTGACTATACTCACAGTTGAATTTATTAAATTTTGGTCTCACCAGCTGTCCTTTTAATTTTAGATTTTACTTGGAATAGAGAAAATGTGACATTGTATTTAATAAACAAGGGGAAGTCATATTCCTAAATACTGTGTAAAATTTTAACTAAAACAGTAAAATGAGCATGTGATGGTAGCTTACTGTAAAAATATTGTCTGTGCTTGTAGCATCGTAGTAATCAGTACTGCTTTACTTGTCGGGCTGGCCGGCCCTCCACCGCTGGGGCAGAACACGAGGAAGGAGGGTCATGTTTGCTCATAGTTCCCGCAAGATTTGGGTCTGTGGATGCTTGGTCCTGCTGCTTGTGGACCTGGGGGGCAGAGCGTCACGGCAGGGACCACAGCACACCACAAACCTGCACAGCCCAGTTCCGCCCGAAAGGAAAGACGTATGTCAGAAAGCACAGACCTATGTCAGAGCGGTGTCCCCTCCAGGGCCTCCCCTAGGTTTTCCCCATGAAGCCTCACTCACCAAAGGTGCCACCCCTCAAAGTGGCACCACAAGCTTTCACACTCTCCAGACCTAACGGCAGCACTTGTCGTTCAGGGGCCTCCCCAAGCAGGGATTCACATTTTTCCCAGTGACAACTATGTACAGATTTTTAAAAAGAATTATATTGCACAAAACGTGGAGGAAAACTTACCAAATTAAAAAAAATATACATATCCTACATTCCAAAGGTAATGGCAGAAGACATTTAGTCTTTTTCTATACATGAGTATTTATGATCATGAAGTCAAACTACATCAAGCGTTTTCACTTAAAATATTTTTTATACTTTAAAGAAATTCTTAGGGGACACACTGAAACCACAAGAAATTTGGAGACAATCTTGAGAAAAGTGTTGCATTCTCTTACAGATTTGCAGTACATAGTAGAAAAGCTAGAGGTACTGAGAAATCTTAGCAATGAAAATCTGTTTAACTTCATAAATCCATCTTTTCTCAAAGTTGTTTAGCAAGGAACCCTTGCTGATAACATGTAAAACTTTTTAGCTCTCAGAACTAGAGTTCTAGGTAACCTACTTTGAAAAATCCAGGATATTTCTCATTTTTTCTGTTACAGCTAACAGTTGGTGAAATATTTGCTTAACCTGCTGATGTTTTATTAGGTTTATAACACCAGTGCTTCATTTGGAAATATAAATGATTTAATGGTTATTAGCATGTGTTTAAAGCACAGTGACCACAATATGTTGTCTTCAACATTTGTGTTAACCTTGGCATTACCCTAGTGATTCTGCATTATAATCATATTTAACCTTTTAAAATTGTGACCATCCAAATTTAAATTTCTGGTTCTGTTACTATGTATTAAACTTCTTTATATTTCATGCAACCCACAGGTCTCGCAAGAGCAAAATCCGTCCCCAGTCACACGTATTCCAATGAAGTGGTTACCTTGTGGTATAGACCGCCTGATGTTCTCCTGGGCTCTACAGAATACTCCACCTGCCTTGACATGTGGTGAGAAATAAAAACTTTTATCTTAGCTAATCTGTGTGTGATGGTTGGTCCTGATCAGGCCTGTACAAACATCCTCACAGTGCAGATGAAGATTAATGACACAGGAGTGTTCCCTGTGTGTGGCAGTACTTGTGGGTTTTTAACAACATGAGGAGGAGAATTCCCTAATCAGAGAACCCTACAGATGGTATCCGGGAATGGTTTTTGATGAACAGGGACAGAGACATTTTTCTACCTGTCAGTTACAGTGGTCTTCTCCCTTAGGGTTCTGATTTGTGGCTTTATTTTACAACAGTGAAGTGTTTATCTCTGAATAGCACTAGAGCTGGCAGTAGCAGGGAGCGTGTTTAAAATTCACAACAAAGCTCAGATAATTGGACTGAAAATTTTGATATAACTGTTAGGTCCCAAATTGGGTCACAGTACACCCCCTGAGAACTCTTAATACCAATAAATTGTCCATGTATATACTGTATATAGTTTTTTTTTTTTTTTTTTTTTTTTTTCTCTCTCTCTTTTTGGAATAGGGTCTTGCTCTTCAGGTCAAACTGGCCTTGAGCTTACTCTAGCTCCGGCTGATCTCAAACTTGCAAGCGGAGTCACAGCACACCACAGAGCCAAGTGCAGGAATTACAGGCATGCATCACCACACCTGGCTATAAGGTCCATATATTTAATTTCAGTACATTCTCATTTTATGGACTGGTTAAGCAGAGTTTCTTAAAAAATCTATTCCATGGGTTCCAAAGATCCAGCAGTATTTAACATGTAATTATTATTAATGGTAGAATGACCCTTAAGCTTCTAATCAAGTATAATTTAAATATAGTAATTATATCAGAGAATAATCCTATTTTTAGTCCTGAGGACAGGCTTCCTACTGGCTGTCCAGCCTGTCCTTTGCTCATGGAGAGATACATTTTCTAAACTGACAATTGTATTCTAAGGACGATTCTAAAGGAATCCACTTAGCTATTTCATTTCAGTAGTCATCTTCCCTGGGTGATTGTGCCCCATATCGTTTGGCCACTTGTCCATCTTGTGTTTATGGACTCAGTGAAACTTCAGCATGTGTTTATCTTATTGCTGGGAACTTACTGTATTGCCTTCCCCCTGAGAATCTTGGCTGTTAGTAAATTAGGTTGTGGTGAGGCTTGGCTTTTTTGCCATATCTGTTTGGTCCAAAAGTTTTATGGTAAGATATAAATCAAGCTCCTTGTAATGTAGGGCACAGAAGAGATTTTCTTAATTTCTGTTCGAGTAGTGCTCCTAAGAACGTGATTTAAGGATACCTAAAGCCATTGAAAATATATGCAACCTTGTATGTACACATGGACATGCTTGTTTTTGTAAGATGTAAATTAGTAGCTTTCAATAAAGATGCAAAGGAATCTAGATCACCAAACATCCTTAGGTTGGTTCTCATAAATTCTGTAATAGTCAGTTCATATAACTTTTGCTTTATAAATAAATCCAGTACCACTTTAATAATACTCTAAAATCCTTAAATAAAGACAACTATTTACCACTGAATGGATGAACTATTTTGTTGTTAATTGAATTCACAACCTTGCCAGGCCAGTTCCTTTCCCCTGGTCCCAAGCTAATCATTTTTTTCTATCACACATCTTGATTTTTTTTTTTAATTGTTGTTTACAAAGCTAATTTTTTTTCCTTCAAAATAGATTCCTGGGAAAAATAGATACAGTAAGTCCTTGACTTAATATTTGGATTGCAAACTTTCAAAGATGTTACTGTTTAAGACTCATCTTTTGGGTTTACAAATAAATCTGACTTAGGAACAATTTTCCTGAAACAGAAGTAGTTCCTGGGCTGGCCAGATAGCTCAGTGGATGAGAGCATCTGCTTAGGCAGATACATTGTGGTGGTGCACACCTATGATCCCAGCTCTTGGGAGGCCGAAAACAGGAGAATCACTATGATTCTGATCTACATAGTGAGACCCTGTAGACCCAGTACTAAATACAGAAGAAAAAAAAAAAAAAATGACAGGACGTATTTCCCCTAAAGGGCCGACCAGCTAGCTCAGCAGATCACAGGGCCCAGGGGTCTGATCTCTGGTGTACCATGCCAGCCCCGCTCCCGGGGTGCACTGAGAGGGCAAATGAGACTGGGCATGGTGGCGCCCACCTGTAATCCCAGTGCATGGGAGGCTGAAAGTCAGGAGGATCACTACAAGTCTGATATGTGTAGTGAGACCCTGTAGACCCTGTACTAAATACATTTTTT